AGCCGTGTAGAATAACGACCGTTTTTTTTCCCTCCCTTTCTCGCGCGCGAGCGCGCGCTACATATCGCCCAGACATTTAATCCGCGTCCTAAATCTGTCGTTTAATCCAATGCGTCGATCTAACGATTGTGCCACGTAAGGGATCTATAAACGAATCATTACGGCCAAGTAGTTCATCGTTATACTTAGTCAATCAACGTAAAGGATCTAGCTTAGGCCGACGTTCGGGTATATCGCGCACACGATCTCTGTTTGTCCTCCGCTAAGTACAGGATGAAGCACGAACTACCGTGAACCAACACAGGCCGCGCGGTCGCGAAGTTAGACGAATTCTTCGTCACGCACAGGTTGTTTTCGTTGGTTCTACATGCGATGAATTAAATATGCAGAACAAGGAGGGTGAGGAGTATATGAATATGGATCAGGTCGCCTCTAATGCGACGACCTCTCGCGCGGGTTAGTCTTCCCTCTAAGAACTAGGAACCCGTTTTACGTTCCTTTTCTCTCTCGGATATAACGGATCTCTAGAGTTATATAAATATTTCATTCGTTCCAAATAAATTCGCATATCGGCTCATAACGCGTAGTGTGCGGGAAAGAAAAAAATTTCCCGCTAGAAATAACGCGCGCTCCGTTTCCTATTTCCCCCTTTCCTATTTTCCCCACGATCGGGAAAGTTCGCGGGCATCAAAGTAGAAAGCTCGTAAAACACCGAGCAAACTTACGGTCCTATATCTCGATTCGACGTCGGCCTGACTTCTATTACAGTCACTATCCTTCCGCCAAGTATATTACATCGCGAGAGTTACAGAATCCTCGAGATGTGGCATTCGTGTCGCGCCGCGGGTACGCTATACTTCCCGCTATACGTGTTCCCCGCCAGGTTTTACGATTTCATTTCTGCTACATCGTTATAATTAACCAATTAAGCGATTCAGCCGAGCTCGTGTTAATTTATCCACCGAATTCTTCCGTCCCGTGCGGCGCGACGTCGAAATCCAATATTGTAAAATAAATTTAATAGACGAGCGAATGAAAGAGATGTGTCACTTTCCCAGGAGAGTCAACGAATAATTATATAATAATAATAGAGAGAGTCACCTTTGATAGCTAGCTTTACCGAGCTATCTGTATATATACGTTAGAACTCGATTAAATAATTAAATTAATTAAGTTAAAGGGAAATCGATAAAATGAAAAACTACGAGACAAAATAATTGCACGTTACTGTCTCTAACGGTATGCCTAATATAATGAAATTAATTCCAGCGATGATATCTCATATGTCGCATTAGCCATCTTCCAAGTCACGAGTCTCCAACGTCTGCCAGATAGAACACAGAGAATCGCACAAGAGCTTCCGGCGAGCAGGTGTTGCCGCAGTCGCAAAGGGCTGCCAGCATATATTCTACCTTCGCGAAGACCGTCTGCGAGTGCCAAGTCTCGTCTTCGGGGCGGGCTCAAAGCAGCGAGAGATGTCTTCGTGGCCAATTAGAGTCGCGCATGTTGGCAGATTGTGGCGCGAGGAGGTACAATGCTTCCCAAAAAATCCCCGTTGTGTAGCAAATAAAGCGACCATTCGACGTCACGATTCTCGAGTGCATCGCAACGATAATTTATTAACGAAATATTAAAACGTCACGTATATCTCGTATCATTTCAAATTCGTTTAGCCAACAAGTTTCCTCCGGTCGATTTCTCCGGGACATTCTCGTGAATAAACGCGTTTTCGAAACTTCACGAAGAAAAAATATAGGAACGAGGGCAGGGAAAGGGGGAGAAAATGCGGCTGGTTTGTGCCGAGACCGAATTGCCAAGACCCAGGATCTCTCGACTCGATAACGTACGCCGGGTTTCTTAACTCGAGAGGATAGGGTCGGATCTAGATTTGAATCACGTAGAATCACCCGCGTCGGTTCTTCGCCCCCCGTAAGTCGTGCACGCGTGCGTTTGGAAATCGGGCGCCGATCGCAGATGGCGGAGATCCCACAGCGTGTACCACGCGCGCGAAGGGTTAAGCCGACGTTTCGGATTTCGGGGCTTCCAAATCCGGCGTTTGTGGCGTTACGACGTGCCATTCACTACCCTGGATACGGTCAAATCCGCCATTTCGGCGAGCAAGATCCTCCAGAATGGGATGTCGTAGTTCCAATCACGCAGCTTCTAAATAATATCGTCGCCCGAAAATCCCAATGTCCCCCGAGACGTTCCATTTTCGAAAAGAAATAATCTGCCGCTATACAAGTCGTTCGTCCCTTTTAGAAAGCCAACCCTATACGATTCCTTCAGGGAGGGCAAGAAAAATGGAAAACTATTACCCGCGAGCGTGACTCGAAAATCCTTGTGACCTAGTCTGGACAATGCGCCGCCCTTAATTCCCGCAACGAGCTTGCGCCCGCGAGCATACCTGCATATACCCAAAGCATCCCGCGCGACGTCTTCGAGTTCGATCGAGCGTGATGCATTTAAGGGGCGCAAGATGCAGGGGGGGAATGAAGATACGGGGGAGGGGGGCGCGTACTCGGAGAACGTATGTGCAGCAGCTGTCTGTCTTCCAAGTGGCATTAATAGGTCTTTGTTTCACTGCATGGATGGGAAGGAGAGAGTGAGAGGGAGGAAAAGAGAGAAAGAGGGGGGGAGATGCCCAGAGCGCGTCGTTCGCGCGGCTCTATTATTCGAATGTGGAACAGATATCGGTTGTCGATATTGCCATTCGCCCGTCTAAATATCCGATCGATCGATCCCTTTTCTCGCGTCTCTGTAACCACCCCCGGCACCCTTCGCGGCCCCGCCTCGACCATTCTCTCTCCCTTTCGGCCTTTCTTCGTGCGTCTTGCGCCGACGGCAATTCCGTATTCTCGCCTCGACTTCCTCCTCATCTATTCTCTATAATACATCTCTCTCTCTCTCTCTCTCTCTTTCTCTTTCACCGCAGCCGCACGCTGTAAACGGCCGTTATCGTGAACGGCAACCCTAACTCGCGATAATGAGCTCACGTCGGCGTACGGCACGTATCGCTCGATCCGACAATGCGCCGAACGATCGTTCCCGATGGAGATGGTGCCACGGTTTTTCTCTCCTCGCGCTGGATATACGTTAATCGCGCCAATGGCTCGTCGGCGAAAGAAGCGTCGACTCGAACTACTGGAAAAGTTAATCGCACGCTGTATCGCGGTCTGCACGAAGCACAGAAGATTTCCTGAGCGCTAAAAGCACTAAAATTGTATTGTCTATCCCTTTAACGATTCACTGGCCCGATAAAGACGCAATTACAAGATCTTTTACAATTTGTTCGCGCGGCAAGAATATATCTTTGTTCGATAACGCGATTACATCTACGAAATGCAGCTTGTCGAACAATTTTAATCTGAGGTCTCACTGTGCTGCGCCCCGCAACAAAACAGTTAAATTCTTCTCTAGGGTGTCTTAGAAATTCCTCTTCTAGGGACCTATGCGGAGCGATAAAGCTAAAGTTGCAAAAAGCCGTGGCGGTTTGCGCGCGCGATGGAGATGGAAATAGCGACGTCTCTCTACGGGAGTATCTACTCCGCATTGATTATCGGGCGCACGATAAACCGATAAGTCTCCCTCTCGTCGAAACGTTAATTTAATTATTCCCCAGTCGCCTCTCCGTTTCCACGGCGCGCTTTCGGATTCCGTGCTTTCCTCGACGCTTTCCGCGCCCTCGACACACACCGTCGCGTTATCACGACCGCTGCCGGCTGTCGGCGATAATGAGCTCGCGATGTCTGCCCATTAGGCGATTCGCGGCGATGCCGGAATAATACCCGCGGATATACGGTGCGCGAGAAACGCGAATACGCTAAGAGAGGTTGCGGAGAGGTTCCGGATGTTCCGATCGCGGCGCGTATTGGCACACGATAAACCAGCGACAGCCGCGCGGCAGACAGATGCAACCGAATCGAAATTGACTTAACTGTTATACGTATATCCCCTGCGCAGCGGGAGTTTATACATGACGCGACAGTTTTATTCCACAAAAGAATATGCTACCGTATCGTTCGACAAGGGCGGTTATCAGCGCACGCGGCGAATACGTTATCGCTCGCCCGCAGTCCTTTGAAGCTTTTCTTTGAGTGACGGGGCGCCTTTGCAAGATTAAGATAAGCGTTTCTTTGTGTCATTCGATTTGAATTTTAGATATACGAGCTGTCAGAAAACTCCTATGTTACCTCGCAACGAATGCTCGAGAAACTGATCATCATAAAACTTAAAATATTACTCAAAGAGCTTTTTAAGATGTCGAGAATATAGATTTCGAAGAGATAATTTAAGGTCTTAAGAATATCGTTCTTGAAATTCAGGCTATCAACCGAGTAAAGCGTTATCGCGGAAAGAAACGGTCGATGCTTACTTGAAATCCTTTCGTTCATTGAAATTCGAAAATAATGAAGAGATTGGAAATCGATGGTAACAGAAATACGCCGTCAAATCTGTTGCGCCGCAGTTTTCACTTTATCCCGTGTTCACTTCGGACTTCCGAGAGAACAGTCGAGTGTCTCATTCCTCCCTTCATTCGTCGGTCATCGACGGGAGAGAAGGCCGGCAGATTATTGCACCGGTTGGTATTTATCCGGCGGATTATCCACGATTACTTGGCTCGTTTTGGTGGCCGGCGAACTCGCACGCCCGAGTGTAAGACTAACATTGTCGAAAATCAATCGATCCCGTTCAAGGCCGGCTTGCGGCATTTTTGGCTTTCGCGAACACCGCGCGGATCGGAAAACGTTGGTCGAAGCTTTTGTATCTTCCGACGAGCGTGGTTAATTGAAAAATCCCAAATGCGCAGTGTGGAAACCAATCTGACACGCGCGAACGATTCTCGCCATCTCTCGTCGGTCTCGAAGTCGGAGTTCAAGACGAGGATCGCGGAGCGACGCGTTAATCCGCCGGTTAATCCGGAGTATTAGACGCGACCGCCGACCCTGGCCGGCCCTGTGGCCGGATTAAATACGAAACGTCTGACAGAAGATACTGACCGTGCTCCACGTAATAACTGGTCTCGTTGTACCGCTCGTCCGTGAATCCCGGCCTCTTCGCTTTCAGCGCTTTCGTTTCCAATTTTGCCTGGAACAAAGAACGTAGTAGATAAGAGAGTGCGGAGTGGTCAGCCGCGGTTACATGCAACTTCGCGGTATCCGGTATACATGGAATAACTGTGCTCTGTACACGGGACGTAAAAGATATAAAACAATAGAATTTCGTGAGACAATAGCGGGGCCTCTGACACTGAAAAAGGTAGTCAAAAGTGACGAGAATGGATAAACGTCATTCCGCGAGTGATAATGGCGCGAAAATACACGGCGAGGATATCCCTGGTTATCGAGTGCCCTTAACTCGAAAAAGCAAATTGTATTTCGCCGGGGACGCGACCCCGCGCGCGCTCCAGTTTTTACTCCGCTGACTAATATCCGTGCGGCAAAAATCGCGGTTATGTCGGATTTATGGCGGACCCGATTAAAAACGGAGATATGCTGGCGTTATTTGTCACTTGCGACTGAAATAAAGGGCGCAGTAGATAGGTAAGTGGACGAGCTAGTCCAGGCTGGCGGCTCCATACGCCGCGCTCGCGAAGGAGAGAGAGAGAGAGAGAGAGCTGACGTATGGCGACGATAAATTTATCATACAAAAAATTTCCAGCACTTCCAGACAATAAGGGGGCACGGGGACCGCTGACAACAGCGGGCAGCTGGAAAATAGAAACTCACGGCCGCGGTTTCGCGGGCATTGTCAGTGGCCCGCAGCAAGCCGGCGTCCGTTTATTGAATTATCACGTAGACGTTTATTTACGACGTTTATTTACGAAGAATTACGCGAGGATCGCCCATCGAAACGGATCGATCACGGGGAATGGCGATACGTCCTGGAAATGCGTATAGAATTTAAGATTTCCGCGTTATGAGGAAGTACCGGTGTGCACCCCGATATGAATCCCGATAGCGACGGTAAATCTCTCGAACGACCGAAAGTTCCGTCGTTCGCGGCGCGAAAGCCCCGCGAAATTTTCTTAACGGCGTGGTCTACACGTGCTCGCTGAAATTTACGCGGTCGTGCTCGTGGGAGCGAGGAAACGGCAAAAGGATACCGGGACTAATTGTTACGTATGGCGTGGCGAGAAACGCGTGAGTTTCGCAAGACCGAATGGCCGGAATTACGCGGCGACGGCGTCGTCGTCAGCGTCGTCGTGGCAAGGCCGTCAAGTGCGACGTAACGAGATAAGTGCAAGTTTGCATAAACGTATATAGCATGACGAAGGCGAAACGAGAACGCGGCTGGGACTGCCGTCGAGCGCGTGCGCCTAATTAAAAAGTAAAACGCTACACCGTACGCTACGTGCACGCGCATAATGCGCGCCGCATTTTCGCCCGCTCTGCATCCCGCGACACACCGATCGCGCTTGCATCTCGCTTCGGTTCGGAGGCTCGATTAGCGAAACAAACGTAAATCACCGGGGGTTACGGGTGCCTCGTCGCGTACGCTGATTCGAAAATTCTCTCATTAAAACGGGGTCGCCCCTGATGCGCATTCCGCCAGTGAATTCGGCCGTTATCACGAGAATCGTTGCAATGTGAAGCAATAATTGAAGCCAATATTAAGCAGCGCGCACTTCGCACTCAAACCCGGGATGGTCGCATTCGTCGCATGCTCGCAAGTGGTTTTCTACTCCGAAGGCCTCTTGTACGTCCCGTATAGACAGAGTAATGGACGACCAAAAGAGAGCGACAGCCGCTGGCCTCCCAAGAAGGGGGTTCCCCGGGGTTCCCTCACAAAGGAATCATTTTAATTAGATCGTTAATTAAAATTAATAACGACATCCGGCGCGCATCGCATGGCCGCGTTCCACTCGTTCGAAACAAACGGCGCATTACATTAATGGATCCTAATATCCGTGTACGCGACACGTTTTAATTAACGCAGACAATAATTAGTCGAAATCGCGAGAGCATCGACCGGCGTAAATCCGATTATACGGGGCGTTGCGCGAATTTTCGATGGCCGATAGTGGCGTGCGGTACGATACGTTCGGACACAGCGCGGTATCGATAGAGACGAGAAAGACTTCTCTATGGGCATTACGTGTTCATCAATAATTATCGGACGTAACCGCGAACGTGTTCCTGGCAGAAACGCAATTAGACTGTCGCAAAGATTCAAGCGAAATGGGGAAACCTCAAGCGAGTCGCGGTGCGTCGCAAATGAAGTGACAACGCCGTAATCAAATTGGTATACCGCAGAAATGACAATTCTACGACGGCTCCATTTCGCAAAATTAGATAAAGTATCGATAATCAAGTACTCGCATTATTAATAATTAAAGTACCCGCATATTTTCCCTTACCGTGTTAACTTGGTTACATAATCGTTTCGGGAGAGCGCTACGCTGAATAATGTATAAAGTGCACAATCGCATTTTTGCACCGGTGCATCGAGTTAGCGTTGCATTACAGCTAATTATAATAACGATCAGCTATTTTCAGCCCGCTCGTTTTCGCGAGAGCGAGATAGCAGATATTAAATGGGAACATTTGTGAAAATTAATATATGTATATTTATATACGTCGGCCATATGCGCGCTGCTATGGGACAAACAAGCTTGCTTCGAGAGTACTACTAATTGCATCGTTCGAAAACGCGTTTCATAATTGACTGAACGATAACACGAAGTAATCAATTGCATAGTAATTCAACGCGCGTGACAACACATTCGGAAGTAACAAAGCGTAAGCAACCTGCGCGACAAAAAGCATAGATAAAAACGCTACAAATCAAATGTAAAGTACGATAAGGGAAAGATAGGGTGGCTGTTTGCGAAGAAAGATATATTCATGGCTGTTTCTTATGAAACAATCAATCATTCGTAATATCGAACGATAAAATCTTGTCTACAAATTTATGATCGGAGCCACGTGTGTCACGCGAATAAATTTTCTTCGCGACAATAAACGTGATAAATTTTTCGACAGGCAGTCAGTTTCCCTGCCGAACGCCTAGTCGTGTATCAATTCAATATACGCTTTAAAAAAATACGAAATAATTTGCCATCTCGTGAAAAATAAAACAATCGGACTCCTGCTCGGTCGAGCACCTCGTTAACCGTAACAAGGGTGCTCGAAATTTTTGCTTAAATAATTAACGCTCGCATTACGTATTGTTTGCGATCTCGGGGTGAAAATGCTAGTTACCGCCGCAAACTGCAGAACAAGGCCGACCACACGACAACGACGACAAACGATGACGACTACTACGACGACGACGACGACGACGACGACGAGAAGAGGAAACACGAGACCCTCCAGACTTACACAAAGAGCATAGAATTGCGAGGCGCGATGTGGGAGGAGGCGCGCGCGCGAGAGAAAAGCAAAGTGGCGAGGCCGGAGGCAGGCCAGGCGTAAGGGGCAAAAACCACCCTCGAACCGAGGCTCGGTTTTCTCCGTTTAAGCCCCCCTCGCGCGAGACGATGTATCCTCATCCGCACGAATTTTCGCGCCACTCGGCTCGCTCTCTGGACTTTCGGCTGTATCGACCGGCCCTAAAACATCCCTCCCTTTCACTCTCCAGCCTCGAACGACCGTCCGCGCGCCTCGCCTATGTCGCCTGCGGGTCTGTTTCTACCTCCGTCCCGCGAGCGACGGTCTCCCTTGCTCCTGGGGGGGGGAGGGGCGATCGACCGCGTTGCTTTCATCGTCCGAGGGTTTCCTCCAAGTCCCGAAGCTTTCCTTCCTTCTCACCTCTCGTCCTCTCACGCGTGCGGCGTGCCATTTAAGCTTGCCCTTCGCCCAGTAGACTCCTTCGTCCTACATCGTGATTCTAGAAAACGCAGGCCCCTCCAACTGTTCCGAGCGCGAGACAGCCAAGATATATATTTATATCGGTGCGGATTTACGCACGAGAACCTCGCAAATGGGATATGCGCTGTAATATCGTAAACCGCGTGGAATGCACGGAGCGGGAAGACAAAGAGATACATGCCAGCCGGTGGCCCGCGTACGTGCGTATACATTCCGATTTCGGACATAGCGAATTCTACCGCATCGAGCGCGTGTCTGCCTTTCGTGCGTACACACTTGCGTAACACGCGTGCTGCACGAGACGACGTGCCCATTCCCGCTCGCGAGTAAATGGGGCACAACGCGATCGTCTTCCCGCGATTGGATTTAACAGCCGTAAAATAATGGGGGGGACTTAATCATCCCCTAAGTCGCGCGCAGCGGCATATCTTACTTCGTCATCGAGTTACTCGCGCGCAACGTTCTTTCATCGCATGCATATTCGCCGGGTTTAATTTACGACGTGTTGGAACGGAAGAGAGAGAGAGAGAGAGAGAGAGAGAGAGAGAGAGAGGGAGAGAGAGAGAGAGAGCACTCGCCACTCGCGCGGAGAGTCGGCGAGATAAATTACTTTCGCGCACCCGGATGTAACGTATCGTCTACTTTAGCGAGGACGGGAGTCGAGAGTTTCTTTGGCCGCGCGACGCGCAAAGAATTCCACGGATCCCGCGACGAAGCACGAGACGGAGCACGGGGAAAGGAGTAAATCCGCCGCGCGAGAGGTGACGTCGCGGATGGTAGATACGACATCCAGCGTAATGTACTTTCTCGGCGCCGGGTCACGCCGCGGCAAAAAGAGCAAGCGAAGCGGTGAACGACCATCCAGCGCAAATGCACACACGTATACGCGACACAAACGCCTCGCCGCGAATCTCTGGCACACACGGCTTGTCGCCGCCTGTTGCTGTACCAGCGGTTTCTCGCCGCGCGACGCGACGTTTCCGGTAAGGCGGTGATTTTGTTTCAATCGTCGTCGTCGCGCGCCGGGAATCGATTGGATCCGTCACGTTTGATCGGGAGAGACGAGGAAACGCGCGTCAAGTAATTTCTCTTCTCTCTCGCTGCTTTACTCATCCGTCGATTCGCGCAGCGATACGTTTCTCGCTCGGCTTCGTTTCTCTTCGCGGTCTTCGAAACTTCCTCCGCTGGAAGTAACACGGGCCGCGGCGAGGTGTATTTTCAAGCGCGTCTTATAAAATGCGGGGGAAAACGACGCGCCGAACGCGAGTTTAAACACGCGCCATCGAGTTTACTTAGATCAATGGTGGATTAACGAGCTATTGCTCGACCCGCCGGAGTACTCGCTCGAAACTCTTAAGCGCCTGCCTCGGGCAATTAATTTCATGGCTATCTTAGCTTAACTCGAAGCGCACTGTAAACTACTGTGGACCGAGCGTGAGAAAAAAAATTAACGACCGACGGTGATCGCGTGGTTAATCGCGGGGAAGTGATAGGATGAGGGACGCGAGGTGGAATAACTCGCGTTATTTCTTTCGCGAGATATTCGTCGAAAAAAATTAATTTTAATTTCGCTATTTTTATCCGTGATGTTTCTGGTCGTTATGGCCGGTCGATTGGACATCTGTTTGACCGCACGTTAACGTATAAATGCAACGTAACGATCGCCGTTCTGCGAAATAATTCTCCTAAAAAAAAAAAGAAAAAAATTGCAAGTTGCATAACTCTCAGCAATTCTCTACACGACGAAGACGAGTCTACGAGAAGATACATACAGTCTCTTTTTTATTTCGCGTGCTATTCTATCACGATTATTACAACAACGTCATTAACTCTTGCTGCATCGTAGTCCGTAGAGCGGACTTGTAATCCGTGTATACAGCTAAACGTCAAAGGCTATCAACGACTTCTCGCAACACAGTGACTACCGACAACTCGGGTTTCTCAAAGCGCGCGGCCCCGGCTCGCCGCCTCTCGGGCTGCGTTTATTTCGTTAATGAGCGAGCGAACGGGCGGGCAGATTAATGAGGCTGTGCCTCGCGGCTGACGCTACGACGCGCCGAATATCGACGAGGACGACCGAGATACGCAGCGGCGAATAGATGGTGGGTGGATACACGTGATCTGCTCCGAACTCGGACCCTCCTCCCCCCGCGCGCCTGTCGGTCGGCCCTCGGTGAGTTACGAGAGCTTGGGAAATGGACATCCATACCGGTTCCCTGGTTAACGGTATATACGGCCGCATAACGCGGCGTTAACCGACGCGAGAATCACTCGGCGAATCCTCGATAACGCGGTGGTACACGGTACACGGCGCAACGATTCGGGAAACATATTGAATGACGGGAATAGCGATGCGTCATAATTGATCGATGTAATGAAAGTCCTGGAAAACGTAATTCCAAAAATCGGTTCAGCGCACGAGGAAAAAAAAAAGAACGAGCCTCTCCAACTAATTGAAGTTTCCAAAGACGCCTGTGGCAAAGTAGCTTAAAGATACTTGAATACCAAAGTAACTCTCATAGTGCCCGAAGTAATTCGATAGTATCCTTGAAGAGCGCGGGCATTTCGTCTCCAATTTAAAAGCGACCTCCTTTAACATCGCCGTCGGGCTGTAATCTATTAAATCGCTCCTCAAACAGTCGGCGCAAACAAGCCGAATATGTTTACCTTCTTCAGATCCTTGCTGGCATCGGCATCCTCGGCTTTTCGCTTCTCGGTGATCTTCGGCGCCGGGACCGCCACCGCCGCCTCCCGCAGGGGTTTTAAATCGACCTGCAATGAAAATAAGTAAACCTTGTTATTTATTCCATTATTTATTCCTCCACACACACATACTGGACCGGTTGAGATAGCGCGCTGACGTGACCTTAATTTTGCTAAATACCGTTTTTAATCGTCGCGCAAGCTGAGACGGTTTAAATAGATAGATTAGTGGCCCGCGGGATGTCCATCGGGTACAATGAACACAGACAAGGCATCATCGGCCATTGTGCATCCGGATGTTGCCCCGTTAATGTTGCCGCGGCAAAGGCACGGGACGGCATCGATTTATGGTAATTCGGTTAACTCGTCTGTATTTTATGCGCGCATTTACGTTCCACATACTAATCCGGCGTTAATGGGACGAGTAAATACAGAGGGGCAGAGTCCTTCCCCACGAGTCCGGGGAGAGCTTGATTTGGCGCTTGATAATTCGACACTGCTACGCCCGCCCGGTAATGACTGTCCCCTCCCATCGATTAGCGAAAGGACAGGCGGGACGGACGGAAGGACAATCAATCGATCAGTGATTTACATCAAATCTTAATCGGTGTCGCGAATATTGACGCGAACCTGATTGAGCTTCACGCTGCTTCTCGAGATCCGGCCGAAACGCGATACCGAGTCGCCGGGCGAACGTCCTGAATTAGTAACCGTTGCGCGCTTCCGTTTTAGTGCATATAATTTAGTTTTCTTAATTAACTTAAACGACGAACGTGAAGTGTGCTCCTTTCAGCTCCGCTTTCCTACGCTTCTTGCATTTAAAGCGAAACAAGGCGAATACTCCGGGTTCGTATAAGGGAGGAACAAAAAAGATTGAAGGTAATTGTAGAAAGTGCAGTTGAAACTAAAAGACTTATGGGTGTACGTGGAGGAATTTTAGAATCCCAAGATGCCTCCAAATGTCCCTCGGAAATGTAGATGCAGGGTTCAACTGAGGGTTAACACAATTACGCAATCGCGTGTTCCGCCATTTGCATAACGAGGAATTAACGGGATTATATCGCACGTCCTATTAGCCGTCCGTAATCCTGTCACCGAGAGAGATCTGGATTATAGACAAACTTCTACAATTATAAATTATAAATATGAGTCCGTGGAAAAAAAAAATTGGATGAAAAGAAAGAGGAAGAAACAATATCGAAGAAAAAGCGCACGAATTAAATCGTGACTCAAATATTTGATTAGATATGTAATGAACTTAAACGTCGCGGGACATTCAAACATTTCGCTGCGGTATTATCGGTATCGCGGTCCATCGAATTCTGCGGTTTATTACGAAATTCACCGCAAACGTGTGAATCGCGAGCGATTTTCGCGAGCGTACAACCACCAGCGTGCAACCGACAAATGGCGAACGTGTGAATTCGGACGACCGGTCGGACGAGTTATAGTCCGCACCGGCTGACATATCGAATCGAGATCGAAAGACCGATCGGACACGCGGGTGCCGTTCCGCAAACGTATCGCCGTACATTCGGTGCGAATGAGGCTTTAGGGTCGCTAGGGTCGCCCCTGACAACGCCCTTGCCTGCATTGCGGTAGCTCTTTCTCTCCACCCTGGCGATATCCTTCCACCATAACACCCGTCGAAATGTTCTACGAAAAAGCAACGGGTAGATTCGCACGTTCTTGGCACAATCCATGATCTCGAGAAGTCGCAAAGTATCCCGCGAAGTGTACAAAAAAAAAATGACGTGTCGACTCTAACGCGTCGAGAAGACGCGGACGCTCCCGAGAGCGTGATTTGCGCTCGTCTGGATGTCTTTCGCGTTTCGCGCCTTGATTGCGGAATTGGCTTGGGCCGCGATTCGTCTCCCTTAAAATAGCCGAAAACGCGGCAAACAAGACGCGAAAGCTCCCGTTTTCACGGTACGTGATTGCAGCCGCGTCTCATGTGCATGTGTATGCGCGGCCGCGCGGTCACATGCATGATAGGTCGAAAACTTTCTTCTACGTACGGGACGAAAAAGAAATGATGAATAACTGCTCGACATGAAATTCCTCCCGCCCGCTGTGTTTCGCGGAGAAGCCCGCTATTGTTGCGTCACACTTTTCTAACAATTAAATCCCTCCGTGAATGTGTAACATTGATTTGCATTCGAGAATATTTCGAGAGACCAATTGTGAAGAGATTTATCATCGAAAATTCATTCTCGCGAGATGAATCCTGACAAAAAGTTTATAATAAAGATATGATGAGAAGTTTGTATTGTACTATATTTATCGACTCCAAATCTCGCGGAGAAGACGATTTCCGGAGTTAAAGCGACCGCCGCCGTCACCGCAAACTCGTCTCGTCACGCGGTATTTATGAATAAATCCGTGGAGCAGCGACCGCGCGCACAACAAAAGGGACGTAAGCGTCGCTTTTCTTCGGGAAAGCGGACCGCCCATTGGGATTCATCCATCACCGGCGATATAATTGAGAAAGCAGATCGCCTGCATTCAGGATTTACATTTTCAGCGCCACCGCTGGAACTCAATTTATCCGTTTACTCGCGCGTCCCTCGGACGGACGGACAAGCGAGGTAATACACTTCCGAGTCATTAGCGGGGTGTCCCACTTTGTGTTCTCGCTGATGCCGCGAATTTTTTATGAATTTCCGCGGCCGCGCCGTTTCGCCCGGCCAAATTGCCATGCTTATCAACTTACATTTTGCGGGATACAAGATGAAAATGCGCGAAATTTTTGCAACCTAACGCGACTATTAACAATGTTAGATATGCACAAGAGCACATGTAAATATACAATGACTTATAATGTCTTGCTATGTGAGACGTCAACTATTCGGTCCCATGTTCATTTCAACCAGTGTAGATTAAATTTAATCTCGATTTAACTTGCTTTTTATCCTTTTCTAATTCTTAGAACTAAAAAAAGATATAAAATAAATTAAACCAAGATCAAAGATAATCTGCATTGATAGAAATAGACGTCAGAAGGCCGAAAACTCAAAAAAATTAATAAACGACCATGAGAAACGACGATAAAATTCTTGTAACCGTGTTCATAACAAATAAAGAAAATGATTGCTTTTTTTTAGTGAAGTGACCGCGCGCTACTTCCATCATCCTTGACTGAAGCCGTCACCCACAGAGATCTTTCTTTCACCGCCTTGACCGAGTGCAGCTCGGTATTGTATACTATGTCTCAATTAATCGTGCGAGAACGCCGCGTTACCGTCGACATTTAATCGCAATCACTGGTCGCGTGTAACGTTTAATGCCGGCTCGTTAGTGTTTACACGTTTATTACCGTGTCTCGATATATATAACGTAATTCCCAGATTGACGTTTCCGGCGTTCGATGATGAAGAACACGGAATTGGGAAATGAGCTTGGGGGCCAACGCTCGCCGGTCTGATTGAACGTTATTATTATTAAGTCGATTATCACGGCGATGGATCATTCCATTAGCGACGTGAGTGTCCTCCGTTAGTGCCTTCATGAATATTTCAAGGTATATGCATGACTGAGCTTAATGATTCCTGAACGATAATAACTCGTCGCCGATTGATTCGTTGCCTCGGCGTAAAAAGAATGAACGGATTAAAAAACGTACGCGTTCATTATCGAGATGAAGAGATGAAAGGAAACATTAGCCGTTAACAGTGACCGCGGGATTTAGCATAAAAAGAGCTCGAAGCAGGACCGATATTTCAACGTGCCCGATCGATCGGCACGGGAAAAAAGTTTGTCAGGTATCATCGAGTCGCGTTAATTAATAGTCGCTCCGAGTAAAACGGCCATCCCATCGGCAACGGTGGCAATAATAGCCACCAACGTGACAACGATTTATCATTTACTGGCGCGTTGCACCATAACCTAGCAGTCGTTAATCTTTATCACGAAGAAACTCAACGCTACGAGCTACATAACAATAATATTAATGGGATATAAATATTAATGTCGAGGTATATATATCGACGCGAGAGTGTTCACGGAACTGCAAAGAAAAAAAATATGTAGAAAGGACTTAAGGCAATCGTGCTAAAAGCCAAGTGTTCCTCCGCTGTACGATACTCGGCTGAAATATTTACAGCGACATAAACAAAAAGGAATCGAATGCGTAAACGGGAGCTGGAACGCGTGACGCATTCACGATTAGAACGCTGTGCGAGATACCGGGTCGAAGGGCACGATCGCGTGTCAACGCGGCGAGCTTTATCGCAGGAATGAATTTATCCGCGCGCGTATGATTCACGCGGAATGGCAATTAGGGGAATATTCCCGGTGTACAGTGGGCGTAAGATTAAACGAGAGAAACGACGCGACGAGAAAAGGCGCGGTAGTGCGGTTGTCCTCGCGTCTCTGCCTTATCCGAATCCGAGAATAATTCGAAGCAAAGCGAGCGTGAGAAGCGACAGCGCGGTGGAAGCGTTAGTCGCGACTTCGTTAAGCTCGGGATGCCTCATTTCCTAATGGACGCGGCACGAAGCCGGGCCTCGCCCCTTTCTCTCTCTCTTTCCCTCATTTTCTCCGTCTCCACCGAGCCTCTATGTCTCCCTTTCTTCTCCCTCTATATCTAATAGTTAAATACCACCGTCGAACGACGGGCGCGAAACGGCGAAGCTTTGTTAAAGCTTTAACTCCCCGCCCCTCCCCCCGATAGACGCGATCCGCGCGTTTCACCTGCAGACGATTAGACCGGCAAAACTTTTGCACGGTGATTATTCACGGGGTGTTACGTTTCATCTACGGATTCTTTGATCAATTTGGAGCCGGCTAGCGTGAGCCATAACAGAAATAGTCGACGGGTGGAACGACTATAGGCTTCTCACGAGTACAAATACCTTATTCTTCATTTAATTTCCGTGGATCAAAGAATTCCGAATTGATCAAAGAACCCGTAAACGCACGTTGTTGCCGGGTCCGAGAAATCTCGCGTTATATCGCCGGTTGTAAAAGCGAAGCACAGAAATACGAGCCATAATTTCGATGTTAAAGGCTATTCCATCGCAGGACTTCTCTTCACTGCTAAAATATAACGTCGCAATAAATTATCCTGT